AATTGATATGGAAAGGGTAAAAATATGAATAGAAAAGGATAGATTTTCCGGACAATTTACAAATAAACTGCTCGCCTAATTTTTAATCCCTACATCTTGTACACCTATTACAAATAAACTGCTCGCCTATCCAAAACACTAATTTTTAATCACTACATCGTGTACATCTATTACAACCTTTGCAGAATTCATTATATAAATTAACAAAAGCAAATAATATCAAGATATGAGGATTAGAAAATTAGAGTATTAGTGCGAGCGTTTAGTTCCTTTATTTCCTTTTATTGTGAAGGAAACGATATGAGAGACTATCTTGTGACCCCCCCCCCCATTTACCAATAAGGCTTTGCCAGGATTTTGGCGGTATTTTGATAAGCTTGACAGGTGTGGTTTTGAGCATCCGTCCTGCAAACACCTAAAAGTTTGACAAACACCCTGACATGAAGAACATGAAGTATATGCGCAGATAAATAGAGATGACAGAGTTAGACGAGTGAGTAAACAATGGTTTGAATGTAAATAAAAGAACAAAAGAGTCAGATTCAGAAGTTTGAAATAAAACAAGAATGTGTGTAATAGGAAACTTGTTTTTTATTATTCTCTCTTTTCCTTGGAAACATTTAAAATTAGAATAAAACAAAGTTAGTTGTCAAAATTCCTGGCTTTTATCTTAATTATAAAGATTTCTCCCCTTCCTTAAAAACTATTATTTATTTTTGCAGGAGCTAAATTTCTTTATGTTAACCTTAGATTCTATAGTTCTTCTATGCTACAGTAAAGTCCCAATTTTTCCATGTCAAAACTACCTTGCTAAAGCTTAATCCCTAGTCTTCCTTGCTAAATTTTAATACTAATCCTAGTCCCTCTTTGCCAAAGTTTAGTTAAAGTAAATCCTAGTCTCTATACTTGCTAATATAATTCCCAAGTCTCCTTATCAAAGTTTAATTCTAATCCCTTTGCTTAAGAAATTCCCAATTCTCTTTGGTAAAGTTTAATCCTAATCCCTCTTTGGTGAATTTTAATCCTGATCCCTGTAGTGAAAAGTTTAATCCTGATTGTTCTATGGATTAATGAATCATCTTCTCCTGCATCGTTGTGGCATATAAACCCTTAATTACGGACTAATTACAACCTTTAATGGTTTAAGTTTGTAATTACATATAAATAATCATCACACCTCTGTAATTAACTCCGTAGGGCCTCCCCCCCCCTCTGATGGTCGGTGGCAGGCGNATAATCAAAAAGGCCTCTTAATTACTAAAATAAGTCATCTGCCGATGACTAATTTTAACAATAGAGCCATAATATTTACAGAGTTTCAGGTCGTCTTCATAGTCTCATTCTTTGTGGGTAACCCTGTCCCTGTAGTTTTTAAGCTATTCAATGTAGATTGGGCATTGTTTGTGTAAACCCTTCATATACCTTTCCGTCAGTCTGTTATACCCCCTCTCCCACCCCCTCTTTTATACCTCCTTCCCCACCCCCTCTTTTATACCCCCTCCCCCCTCTTTCTTATTTGTATTTTACTTTTAAATATATTCAATCATAACTTTAACTTTATAAAAAAATAGTTCTCATTTCTGAAAATTGTATATGTTAGATTAGATTTATTACTATTTTCAGTCAAAGTTTATAGATAGATATTTTACTGCCCGAATTAAGTTTTTCACTCTGTAGAATAATACGATTATAAACAAATTTACTTTTATTATCATTTAAATGTAATTTTTTCGATTTTCATTCCTTTTTTTTCTTTCCGATTCCTGGCTTTGTTGTTCCTAGTTTACAGAATTTAAATATTCTTTTAATATTTTCTTTATAAAAAGCCAAGACAAAGCAGATGATGCCTCTTGCGTTGCGTTTACAGATTAAATTTACTCGAGAGGACTGTAACCATCTGACCGGTTTTGTTAGATGAAGCTCATGTAACCAGGTGACCAGTCCTGTTAGATCAAGCTCATGTAACCAGCTGACCGGTCTTATTAGATCAGGCTCATGTAACCAGCTGACCGGTCATGTTAGATCTAGCTCATGTAACCATCTGACCAGTCTTGTTAAATCTAGTTCCTGTAACCAGCTGATCGGTATTGTTAAAACAAGGTTCTGTAATCATCTGTAGATTTATATCAGTATATGCGGGTCATCTTCTATAACCGAGTCTAAGCGTTCTGTTAATGAGACACCGCGTCGTCCCCCCCCCTTCATGGGACCGTGATTGAAAGAAATGCCGAAAAATTTATATTCAGTCCAGTCCTTTTCTCCATTAATTGACACGAAATATGGTGGATTTGATCAGAGAAGATATAGTTGGACAGCTACGGATAGATAGATAGATAGACAGATAGATAGAAACAGTGGATAGATAGATAGATATGGGTGGTCTAGATGTGTGAAATGTGAATATATAAATACCGGCCCGTGTAGACGTGGTATTAATTTCACCCCTGGGCTTCACACTGTTCACTGTCTTTTGTCCAGCTACTCATTTAAATACTTTCTATGAGGCCATTTATAATTATTTTTTTAATGAGAAATTCATTTTTGAAATTTAAAAGTTTCTTCTGACGATCCCAAAAGAGTATTTGAATCCCCTCTCCTCAATCCATGAAAAGATCCTCGTGATGCTCCCTCCAAATTTGCACAATCTAGTGAAAAGGTATTTTTCAGGTAAATTGTTTTGTATTCAAATATTTTCAGAAAATCATAGGTTTCCAAGCACCCCCTGCCCCCTCCCCTCAACCTTCCTGTGCCCCAAATTTACACCGACAGAGGGTCAGAGGATGCCATAAAATGTTCTTGCCTAGAAATGAATCCATGAATCCATGGTTCCCTGTTCCCTCACTTCTCACTTCTCCGGGTTTACATATCATGTTCTAGGAACCAGGCAGGGTTAGACATTCAGATAAACTCATCTTTGTATATTCACTGTTTAGCCGACTAACCTAGAGTATATACAGGGTGTCCTCTGAAGAATGAAGAATAAAGTGTGTGTGAAAAAAAGCAATGCTCGACTCCTAACAATTCCAAAATGTGTGGATGGAGATATTTGAAGTTTCTTACTAATTAAGAAAATCTAAACAAAGCAAAATTCTTCATCTCTTTAATTGTAAGGTACAAAACAGGAAGACTCCGTATTGTGGATTGAAAAAATTAGAAATTGAAAACCAAATATTTAATATGGTATTTATGTTTGAGTCTGTTACTATATGATTCATGAAACAAGTTAAAGACTTCAATCAAGTCACGTGTTTATTGGGACACCCTGTAGATCTACAATTCTGCAGGGTAACCTGGAAGAAATGTAAAACTGCAGGAAATGACACATCGTTACATTTATTATAAACAGCTCTTAAACTTTTAAACTTTATGTTATGCAGAATTAAATAGGGGTACACCAACTTTAGGCTATTTTCTAGAAAACGATTAGTTGACCCCCCCCCCTTTTATTTTCTTCACTTTTTGTTCTGTAAATGTGAAACATTTCGGACCATACTTAATTGCAATTACAAATCTGTAACTTTGCTTATGTAGTCCAAGGTAGATATGGGACAGTGTACTATGTACAAATAAAGTTGCTGGGTAAAAATGCATGGTTACAGGGTGTTTACTGTATAAACTAACAAACATCTAGTATCCAATGTACCATTGTTACAGGGTGTTTACTGTATAAACTAACAAACATCTAGTATCCAATGTACCATGGTTGCAGGGTGTATAAACTAACAAACATCTAGTATCCAATGTACCATGGTTGCAGGGTGTATAAACTAACAAACATCTAGTATCCAATGTACCATTGTTACAGGGTGTTTACTGTATAAACTAACAAACATCTAGTATCCAATGTACCATNTATGGGACAGTGTACTATGTACAAATAAAGTTGCTGGGTAAAAATGCATGGTTACAGGGTGTTTACTGTATAAACTAACAAACATCTAGTATCCAATGTACCATTGTTACAGGGTGTATAAACTAACAAACATCTAGTATCCAATGTACCATTGTTACAGGGTGTTTACTGTATAAACTAACAAACATCTAGTATCCAATGTACCATTGTTACAGGGTGTTTACTGTATCAAACATCTACCCCTGGACCTCCCGAACCCTGGTATAATCGGTGCACCACCAGTAGTGATTATAATTACTAGTAATAAGCCTCATTATTCCTAAATATTTCCTTTCCGTACTATCCAAACATAACAAACAAACAAACAATTAAAAAGTCTTTTCAACCCACCGCATCCCCACGCTGAAAACCATAATTTTAATTTCAAAGTTTCAGATTTACTTTACTGTTTTCATTTTCCAATAAAAAAATACAATTAAATTCTGATAGAATAAAATATGTTTGATATCAAGCACCAATTTTTTTTTTTTGGATCAAAAGTCGATCTGATCTTTAGTATCTAAGGTTACTATAATTAGAAAATTTAATTCTCTAAAACTTGAAACTGAGGATTTTACAATTTTCAACCGAAACACAATGTCTAAGAATCAAGATTGCAAAGGTTAAAATAAGTTCAAAAGTAAAATATTGGCTTGGTTTATAACTTGGCAGTTATAATTAGACAAGCATTTTATATTTTCAGGTAGAACAGTGGAAAAAAGATCAAATTAACTTTTTCAAGATTTTATTTTTGCTTTCAAAAATCAAATTATTCAGAAAATATTTTTTTCAAAAGTAAACTGGTCCATCAGATTAAAAAAATAATAATTTTCTTAATCAGAGATTCAAAAAGAAAAGTACTAACCAGGAGCTCAGTAAAGTTTGATGTATAGAACATAAAGGATTAAGGGAAGATTATTAACGCGGAGCTATTTAAAGATTTAACAAAGGTCCTTATCTTTCTTTAATCTCTCTATTAAACTAAATTCAGGAGGCGCTTGGGCAAAAAGGGGGGCAGGACTGAATTGAGAGGAGGGGAGGGACTCCTACTCCACCTCCTACCCCCATGGATATCTATGAGCAGGGATCAGTTAGGTTGAACCGACACTGTTTAGAGCTGAGAGTTCCGACACCGGTCAGTACTCAGTCAGTAGTTCTTAGGACGCGGAGCTGTTCATATTTTAACCAAAGTTCCCAATCAATAACCATGTTCTCTAGATTATTATTTGTTTTAAATATTTCCGGCTGTATGGCAAGCAGGCCGGTCATTACAGAACATCCTCAAGATATCATGGTGCATAGAGGAGCACCGACCACATTAAACTGCGGAGCTTTTGGTTCTCCGACACCAACCATTTCATGGTTTAAGGACGGAGAACGTATGTTTACCGGAGGAGGAGATCATACAGTTCTATTACCAGGAGGAGGTTTATTCTTTCTCCGTACTCGGCATAACCACAGAAGCAGAGACTCCGGGACCTATAGTTGTAGAGCGGAGAACGAGGAAGGAGTTGTTTACAGTAAATCCGCAACCCTCACAGTTATATGTAAGTTAAAACTATTAATTCCTCTGATTGCCAAGTTCTTAAGTTTATTGGCTAATCCTGATCTATATAGATTAGGAGAGATATATTGGTTTAATATTGGTGTAAAGTATCTTTATTGATCTTCATTGTTTTAAGATGAGGTTTTCTTTCATCTTGAACCAGAATACGGAGCATATATCGTGATCCCTCTTATTTCTATCATAACTTATCTTTTACCGGGTTTTCAGTTCGGTTAGGTTTTCAATGTTGGTTGGTTCAAACTTTGTTAATGATTAACATGTTTTGCTGAGCTATTTCTAGAATATATCTGGGGTTATTGTTCAGAAATTGAGCTATTAGCCTCACAGCTTGAACCTTGGAGACCTTTTCTTACAAGTTAACTTTAAGTTTTAGAGTAGCAAAAAAGTTTGATATTTAATTTTATTTTATTTCTAGATTTGAAGCATGAATTCGGTCATGTTCCTAAACTTGTGACTGCTGAGGAGGGGGAAAATATTGCTCTATCCTGTTTCCCACCTGAGGGAAATCCTAAACCAACAATCTCCTGGATGAAAGAAGGTCAGGTGCTGAATTTAAACTCCGGAAAGTATTCTCTGGATCCGTCCGGAGTACTCCTTGTAAACAAGCTGACCCAGGATGATACTGGGAAGTATGAATGCAGTGCTCGGAACGAAGCAGGAACACTCACAGATTCTCCTGTCTCTCTTACTGTTAGGATTAGTGAATATGAGGAAGATAAAGAGGAGGAAGAAGGAGAGTATCTACCTAGTCCTGTGATAACTGATGCAGTTCTTCTTGATCGTATAACAGGCCTGGTCCACTGGTTACCTGTTCTAGATGTGGATGATTATATTGTCCGTGTGGTTGTAGGAGATCAGGAGATCACAAACATTACAGTGGAGAAGGACGTGAACCAAGTCAAGCTGCACAGCCTCGACCCTGACCTCGTTTACACCATCAGCATCGCCGCCGAGCGTCAAGGTGTCATCTCATCCTTCTCCCCGGAGCATAAACTGTCCTCAAACCTCCGCGAGATAACTGTCAACCTGACGGAGACGGACAACCCCGAACCTGAGCTCTGGATTATTGGTATGGTTGTTGTGATCATGATCACTCTGATGATCATCCTGGCAGCTGTTCTCATCTTCCACAAGATCTCAAACCTGAAGGAGAAGGATGCAGAGGAGGCAGATAGGACGGAGATCAAGAGATATAGTTGGTTGGATAGAAGATGGGACACAAACCAGATCAGTTCTTTCAAATCTGACAGGCTTCTCCTGGACAACCATTATGATTACGTGATACCAAATCAGACATTTGAATCTTATCAGTTCTCAAATCAGAACACAGGATCAAAACTGAAAACCAATCAGACAACTGATTCCTGTCACGTGATCCCAATTCATTCAGATATTTACCATTATGCATCAACCCCTATTGTGAAGACGGACTTCTTAATGCCAATCAAACTTCAAAATATTTAATTAATCCGCCTTTTTATCTTCAATCTACGGGAACCTTTAACCAGTTTATAGTTATATATTCACCATACATTCCTTCTGCTAAGAAACCATTAGAAATTGTAAATGTATCTTGTAAATAATATATAATATGTAGTCCAGGCTAGGCGATACAACATTTAGAAATAAATTATAATCATAAATACAAATTTTATTTCTTACAATCGTGTTGAACCGTTCTAAAAGCTTGTAATTATAAGTTCTTCATTTAGGGAAGTATGAAACATTTTCATCATAAAATGTGCAATCCTTTTTTTAAAATTAAGTATTTGACCAATTAAAAAATTATAAACCTTAATTGTGATTTTTTAAAATAAAATCAAGTTAATTGAATTTCATTAATAGTATTTCTTTTAATATTTCGAAAATTGTTTCTTTTAGACTTTTTCTTGAAAATGAGTTTAAAACTTTATTTTTATTAACTTAAATATCCGAGTATGCAACAAATGTAGCCTGGCAAGACCACAGTGAATAAAGTCTTCAGAACTTTATCTTAACTTAAATATCCGAGTATGCAACAAATTTAGCCTGGCAAGACCACAGTGAATATCCGAGTATGCAACAAATGTAGTCTGGCAAGACCACAGTGAATATCCGAGTATGCATCAAATGTAGCCTGGGAAGACCACAGTGAATAAAGTCTTCAGAACTTTATCTTAACTTAAATATCCGAGTATGCAACAAATGTAGCCTGGCAAGACCACAGTGAATAAAGTCATCAGAACTTTATCTTTATTAACTTAGTATTGATGCGTGGTGTCCAGCGAAATTTAAAATCACAGCGCGAAAGTTGCTCATTTTGCACGCGAATTTTGCACGCGAATTTTTGCTTTTAAAAATTTTATTTTAGAGTTTAACTTTGACATAAACCAAAATGAACAATAAGTTCACAATAATAACTAAAGTAGTCTAAAACAGTTGGAGTCATTGATCATTATGTAATAAAGTAAAGGAATTCAGTCTTTGTAACAAACTCTGATTTTCGAATTTCTATATTTTTTTCACCTGATGGTGTAAACCTTTGATATTTCAAACTTAGATTCCTTCATCTATCAGAATTCATAGTTTGAAATATCTAAGGTCTACGGCATTGGGTTGCAAAGATTTAGAGATTAGAAAATCATAGTTTGTGACAAAGACTCAATTCCTTTATAATAGTCGATTTGGTGGCGCATCTAGAAAATTTTATTTTGAGTGATGTTTAACTTCTTTACTCACGACGACCCTGACCCTTTAAATGAAACTAACTAATTAAGAGAAAATGAGTATTAGCGCAGATTTCTTCCCAAATTATGGTGGCTAACTTCGCAAGCAAAGTCGCAATTTGCGCGGAAACTAATTGCGCACAAATTCGCAATGTTTCTGCCTAATTTATCTCGGTGGAAACTTCGCAGTTCCGAATAAATTGCGCAAAAATTTGCGTTCGTGAGAAATTTTATTCTGAATCTAATCTAAACACTAAATTATATGTTCTCAGAAGTAAGAATCGATTCTGATTCGATCTAGTCGATCCATAGTTTTGTTTGATACGTCGAATTTACTTCTCATGCAACTAAAAAAGAATTGTTTAAAGGAATTGAGTCTTTGGAACAAAATCAAATATTAAAACCACAATATCTTCAGAACTCGATGTTGTAAACCTTTGATATTTCAAACTCAGATTATTTGATCTAACAAAATTCATAGTTTGAAATATCTAAGGTATGTAACATTTGGTTCCAAAGATATAGTTATTAGAAAATCAGAGTTTGTGGCTAAGACTCAATTCCTTTGAAAGGCTTAAAATTAAAGGCGTTGAAAGTAATTTTGCTTTTGTTTACAACCCATGCATCAAGCAATGGCAATTTTTACACAAGTGTTCATTCTAAAAATAAAGGAAAGTTGAAAAGTACGAAGTTTTAAATAAATCCCAAAAATTCGAAAATAATATTTAAAATTACGTTTTTGGATCCTTAGCCTAAGTTAGATTTTGCCGATTTAATGTTTATTGCAAATTAGAAATTATAAATAAACCTAGAAGAAATAATATATTTAATAAATCGTAAATATTCAATTTAGTATAAAAAAAAAATGGCACAATGTGATTAAAGCAAAATTGAAGAAGTTTTCTAGGAAAATTTTACAATAAAAATTACTTTTGAATGTTTTTTTTTTAACACGGAATTCCGGTTTTCTTTACCTCCTCTAAAGTTTCTAGAGTCAGATTGCATGAGGTAGGTTAAAAGAGATGATATTATTATATGATACTAACTGTACCCCACACTGGGAATTCTTATAGGTTCCCTGACCCATTAGTTTCAGACTTTAGATACATAATCAGATATACAATGAGATTTAAGATGTAAAATACAATCAAATATCAGATATTTAATCAGATATTAGATATATAATCAGATATCAGATATATAATCATATATCAGATATATAATCAAATATCAGAAATTTAATCAGATATCAGATATATAATCAGATATCAGATATATAATCATATATTAGATATATAATCAGGTATCAGATATACAATCATATATCGGATATATAATCAGATATCAGATATTTAATCAGATATTAGATATATAATCAGATATCAGATATATAATCAGATATCAGATATATAATCAGATATCAGATATACAATCAGATTCAGATATATAATCAGATATTAGATATATAATCAGAGATCATATATATATCCAGATATTAGATATATAATCAGTTATCGATATACATTCAGATATCAGATATATAATAAGATATTAGATATATAATCAGATATTAGATATATAATCAGATATCAGATGTATAATCAGATATCAGATATGTAATCAGATATTAGATATATAATCAGATATTAGATATATAATCAGATATCAGATGTATAATCAGATATCAGATATATAATCAGATATCTGATATATAATCAGGTATCAGATATATAATCAGATATCAGATATATAATCAGATATCAGATATATAATCAGATATCATAAATATAATCAGATATCAGATATATAATCAGATATCAGATATGTAATCAGATATCAGATATATAAACAGATATCAGATATATAATCAGATATTAGATATATAATCAGATATCAGATATATATTCAGATATTAGATATATAATCAGATATCAGATATAATCAGATATCATATATATAATCAGGTATCAGATATATAATCAGATATCATATAAAATCAGATATCAGATATATAATCAGATATCAGATATATAATCAGATATCAGATATATAATCAGATATCAGATATATAATCATATATTAGATATATAATCAGGTATCAGATATACAATCATATATCGGATATATAATCAGATATCAGATATATAATCAGATATCAGATATATATTCAAGATTCAATCAGAATCAGATACAAGTCCTAACCAAGGGATGCAATCCGTCGTCTTTGCAATAAGGACAGAGATCAGGGACCAACGGAAATCGGTGTTATAGGTATAGATCATGTAGTGACATACAGTACATCGGATAAATGAGAGTTGCGGCATCTGTGTATATTCAGTGTACACAGATCAGGGGTATGTAAACAGTAGACAGTTTTGCTATACCATAACATGACAGATTTGTTGTATAAAACTACAAATTAAGAAGTTATACGACCATCAGTAAAATATGAATTTTATTTTAGATAATTTATATTTTTTAAGCTTTTGAGAAATCAACATTTCTGCAACAGAGCTAGGCTTTCCCTTCCCCGCTTTTGGCATTTGTGGAAATATTTTTTTAAAGGAGGATGGACCAACCAACGCATATTTTTTTTTTAGAATGTAACATATTTTCAAAATTGGATTCGTCTTAAAGGAATATTTCATAATTTTTTAATGGCAAGGGCATATAAAGGGTTTGTTCGGAGGGGGGGGGGGTGATGCTCTGCCCTCGGCCACCATATGTTCTTGAAATATTTTCTCATTTTCAAACGCCTAACGACTGCTGTTCTTTCTAAATTTATAAGTCACCAACCCCCCATCCCCCGACCCCCCCAGAATACATTCTGTTTACGATGGATATTTTGGTTTAAAGAAACAAATAGTCCTAAGTATAATCTTAAACTTGTTCAGGTTTCATGCTGCCGGGTCTGTCAGGAGATTCATGAACTGCATACTTTGAAACCCGATTAAAATATTGCTTTTTTTTTCATTAATAAATTGTTAAGCCCACCATGTTGTACATTATTTACAGAATTATTCTTACAGCTTCGTCAGATTTAGAATTTGTCTCTTTCTAGTTGGATTTAGATCTTTGTTTACCATTTTATTTAACTGTGTCTAGTACTCCCCGTGTAATTAACAAATGAGCTTTTTACAGTAAAAAGAAATAAAAACATGGCATATTTTACTGTTTTTGCCCTATAATTTTCCGTTTTTGGCCTTTCATTCCAAGTTAATTCACATAAACAGAGGCATATATATTGGATGTTAAATTTTTATCACGCATATGAATAGAAATAGAAATTGCTCGTGAGAAAAAATAACAGTTTTTCTGGGTAAAATTCTCAATTTGGAGCACAAAAAAATGGTTTTGGACAAAAAACTTTTGTTTATGATAATGTATTTTTCAAAATTCAAAAACTTTAAATGTTTATCGTAATAAATTGTATTTACCCTTAATTTAAAGAGGGGCTTCCCCGACTCACAAGCACATCTGTACTCTTTAAACCTTTGTCTGATCAATAATTTGGAAGATATCATTGTTTTTCTAGGTTGTAAAGTGTTTGAATGCTGGTCATTTTTGACAGTCCCTTTTACTTTTAAAGTTTAAGATATGGATATCTTACTCATTTTTTCAATATTACAAAGCTTACAGGGGCCCTTTGTGAACTAAATATTACAGTTCCTTTATAGGGACCATGGACAAAAGCTTCAATACTATTCTCTAAATTTTGATTCATAATCAAAATAACGTCTACATAAATCCCCCTTTTCTTTATATGTACATGTTGACCTTTTCATCAAATCTTGAGGGGACTGCACAATTTCCATGTACACATTGCCTATCATCATTCTATACTCTAACCTTTCTCTGTCAAAATAACATCTTTCTTTATTTGTACATGCTGACCTTTTCGTCAAATTTGATGGGACTGTACAATTTCCCTGTACACATTGCCTATCATCATTCTATACTCAAACCTTTCTCCGTCAAAATAAAATCTTTCTTTATATGTACATGTTGACCTTTACGTCAAGTTTGAGGAGACTGTACAATTTCCCTGAGCCCAAAACTTAAGACAGGGTGTCGTTGTGAAAACCAGTTTTAAACCCGGGTTTCACAAATGGGGTTAGGCAGTTTTGTGAATATCAATATTTTTGTAATAAAATATTATTTTTTTCACTTTGTTTATATTCTCCATTTTTTTCGAATCTCTTAAATCAAAATCTACACAAATGTCAAGACCCCAAAAAGGAAACTCGGGAGTTTCGTTCAACGATACTCTTTTAAATTTCGGGCTCTGTACACATTGTCTATCAGCATTCTATACTCTAACCTTTCTCTGTCAAAATAAATAACATCTTTCTTTATATGTACATGCTGACCTCTTCGTCAAATCTTGAGGGGACTGTACAATTTCCCTGTACACAATGCCTATCATCATTCAATACGCTAACCTTTCTCTGTCAAAATAACATCTTTCTTTATTTGTACATGCTGACCTTTTCGTCAAATTTGATGGGACTGTACAATTTCCCTGTACACATTGCCAATCAGCATTCTATACTCTAACCTTTCTCCGGTCCTAACATTGCATATGATATTCCTTCCCACTCATACCTTTTGAAAATAACTCGGCTCTCACCACAAACTCAACCTGATAGTTTAAACCTTAGATGTTTCCAAGTTAGACAATTGATTTAACAGAATTCCTAATTTAGAATATCAAAGGTCTACAACTTCGGGTTGCAAAATTTCGAAAATCAAAGTTTGATCCAATGAACTAATTCCCTTACAAAATTTTAAGTTATCAATCTTCTTGTTTAAATCTTAAATTTTAATCAAGATTCTCTATAAGCTCTTTTTTACTCGGGTTACAAGCTAAAAACAACTTTGCCTCTGGAGTAGTACATATTTTTAACTGTTTGTTTTCATGTGAGCCTATGAATATTAATACTTTTTCAGTTAAAGAAATAGTTATATTCATAAAACAAACTTAATTAACTGTATTGTTTAATCACACATAAAAATTTAAAAAATTTACCTAATTTATTCTAAAACACTTGTTCAACGGAAGACCTATTGTCTTATAAGAATTAGTTTTCTTCACAGTCAAAATAGCAATCTTCAAGAATGCGAACACTTTCCTTACTTATATTCATTTTTCAGGTAGCTTGTCTTTATCATAGAATCAACTAAAAATTTTCAAATGTAAAAATAAATATGGGAAAGAAAACATCGAACCAAGGTACTAATGCAAGGAAAGTTATTTCAGAGGTGTACACATTTTTTGTGCTGCAGTGTACTGCATCTATGGGCGGAAAAGTAAACACAAGACGGATATCACAACCTGACATGGAATTCATTTTCATAAAAATAATCTATTAAATATTCTGGTCATTGGAAACTATTATGTGAATTTTCAAAGTCATCAAAATTAAATGCTTTTTTCCTTCACGGATACTAAACAAACACTGATGCATCTATTCTTGTTTACAAATTCCGCCCAAAGAGAACTGGTTTCAATATGTACGCAGAGTATACGTGACCGCAATTTACTTTCCTTGTATTAGTACCTTGCATTGAACGTTGTTTTTTGGAAAAATTAAAAAATCTTCTTGCGCATTTAAAAAATTTTTTCTTCTATTTTTTAATCTGCTTTCCCAAGACAACGCCTGAACAAAACAAAATGTTGGCACATTTAGTTAAAAATATGACTGGGGGGATGATAAGATCTAAATATATAAATTATCAATAAAAAATTAGTCTTAAAAACAATAGGCCAAATTTTGTGTTGCTGCTTTTTATGTTTTTGATAGCAGACTTCAAATTTTCAACGGAGAACCTTATTTGTTTTATGAGAGATCCACAATTTTTCATAGAAGACCACACTAATTATATTTTTTAAAATTTTCTTGGGTTAAACATTTAATAAAAACAATAAAACAGGAAAGAAAATTTAGAAAAAAAGAAATAGTTTACCTTGTTCATGAAATGTCCCGTCTATAAAATGTTCTATTTATGAAATGTCCTATCTATGCAATGTCCCGTCTTGACAATGTCATATCTTTGCAATGTTCTATCTATGCAATGTTTTGTCTTTGCAATGTCATATCATGCAATGTACGTCCTGTCTATTGCGTTGTGACATTTTATAGAAAGACATTTTATAGATAAAAAAATCATAGATAGGACATTTCTCGATCATTTTCAGTCAACAAAAGCACTATTAGTGAAAACTTTTAAATAGACAGAAAGGTTTTCACAGATGAAATAAGTTCTTTAACACAAGTAAAATACTCTTCATATGAAATGTTATGACAAATTTAAAATTTTAAAAAAATTTCCATAGATAAAAAATCTCCGTTGTCTATGGAAAATCTTCTCTGTCTATGAAATGTCTTATCTATGAAATGTCCTATCTATGAAATGTCTTTTTTTGAAATTTTCTATCTATGAAATGTCCTATCTATGAAATTTCCTATCTACGAAATGTCCTATCTATGAATTGTCTTTCTATAAAATGTCACAACACCCTATCTATAAAAATGTCTTTACAGTCAACACCCAATTTTGTGGAGGTCCTCTGGGTAAGCAATGCAAATTTCAGGTCCTCTTGAGAGAAAACCTGGGGGTTTCTAATGAAAAAGCAATTGTGATCTTATATTAACGGTGGCTCAGATAATGAGTTTACTGAACAAACATTCGTTCGTCAGAACCAAATTTTACTCTTTCTGAAGAAAATTTCTTACTACTTTTTTTTGTACGGAGTACATATAAATTTGTTTTCAACCATCAATCTAAAAATCTATATGTAGTGAATACATTTAGATTTGTTTCAACCATCAATCTAAAAATCTATATGTACTGAGTACAAATAGATTTTTTTTCAACCATCAATCTAAAAATCTATATGTACTGAGTACATAAAGATTTGTTTTCAACCATCAATGTGGTATCTGGGAACCACAAATACGTGCATTGAACTGGTATATAAAATCTACACTTGATAAGATTTATACAAGTACTTGAACCTGTTTATATCTATCATGTGTGTAACCTGTTGACGTTGCAGCTCGGGTTGGTCCTATTCCGCGGGCCCAACTCCTCATGCGCTGTCATATATATATNCTAAAAATCTATATGTTGTGAGTACATTTAGATTTGTTTCAACCATCAATCTAAAAATCTATATGTACTTAGTACATATAGATTTGTTTTCAACCATCAATCTAAAAATCTATATGTAGTGAGTACATTTAGATTTGTTTCAACCATCAATCTAAAAATCTATGCATCATACAAGCATAAAATAATAATTACATTTTTAAAAAAATCAAAATAAAACGATAAAAAACTTTTTCCAATTTTATTTTTAATTCTCCAATAATATCTGTTTTCTACAGATGAAAAAATGATGGCTGAAATAATTTACTCTTGTCAAGGTTTTTGCACACATTTTCTTTAAGCTAATTATGAAACACATGCTAATATATAATCAAACCATTGAAGCATGAAAGGACTCTTAAAGTGTTCTTTGAGAAACAGCAAATGATAATAAAGATTTTAAAGAAACAAAAACTTGGTATATAATTCATACTTGATCAGACAAAGCTTTGAAGGTAACGTTGTAAATCGGGCTTGTCATCTTTGAATGGAGGATCACTTGAAATTGCATTTACAGTCCCTTTAAATACAACTTTTTAGAGTATTCATGGAGAGAATGTTCCTGAATTGAAAAATGATGTATCCGTGCAAATACCGAAAACTTTGATTCCTGTAGATGTCTCAGACAACAGCACTAGGAAACAGTCTGATTTAGGTAAGCGTCAAATGTAAAATATTCTGAGTTTGAAATATCAAAGGTTGCATCGCAAAACTATCAGAATATCCAATGCCAAATGATCAAAAATCTTTATATGATCAAAAAAATGTACGCTAAACAGTTAAGGCAACCATTTTTTGTTCAAAAATATCATACAATTTTAATTTTACAATAAAGTTAATTTAAAGTTTAAGGTAATCTTAAACACCTTTTTATGATAAAACGTATGTAAAATGCAAGCTCTCTCTTTCACGCAATCTATTTTTTCTTCTTTCTCTTCTCTTATATTTTCTACTCTTTTCTTCTATTTTCTTCTCTTCTCCTTTCTTTCTTCTCTTCTTTTTTCTTTTCTTTTTTCTTATCTTTTCTTATCCGTTCTTCTATACTCTTCTGTTATCTTATCTCTTATTAACCCACTGATTATATTTTTGGGTATTATAATTATACATTTTAATCCTTGCTGCTTACTTCACTTTTAAAAGAGATTTTTCATAATTCACACGATCTGTCAAGAGAAGTTCTACAAAACAAATTGTGGATAAATTGTTTAGATTGGGGACCTCCCCTGTCTGAAATTGAAAAAACAACAAGAAGTCGAAGTATTTCTTCAGAAAATCAAACAATGTCCGACATGATGAAAGATGGTTTACAAAGAGAAAAGGTTTTTAACTTTTAATTTAAAAATATTTGGAATAATACATTTTTCAAAAATCTCCACAAAGATAGTAATTAGAAAAAAAGTGAATAAAGAAATTTTGTTCTTTTTTGAAAGGTGTAATTTTTTTAATTAGTTTGAATATATGGTTGTTTTATTTAAAAATCTATGTGTAAAAGGTAATACTTTAGGTATTTTTGATAAATAAGACTTTAAGACGATTCGATTCCATCTTTATATTTTTTTTACTTATTTTTCTTATCGTACAATAATAAACATTTTAAGATTTTTCAGATTTTCAGTTTTTATTGGTGAATTTTTTAGAGGCAAAAACTTAATTTTGAAAACTTTCCAACAGAGAAAATATGTACAGAGATAATATTATCTTAATAACATACATTAATAGGCACCCAGGAAACTGCGGAATAGGAAGACGACAATTAGACTTAAAGGGACAGTAAAGGAAAAATGAAAGGGGGTATAGGCTGAAAGCTCATCACTTTAGCTCTTGATCGCGACCCATGAAAGTTTTATCTGATGTTACTATCTCGAGAAATTGATATAAAACTGTGTTAAAATCATACGAAAGATCATATATGCAAAATTTAGAAAATCTTAAACTTAAATCACGTGACCAGAACTATCACCAATGGCAGAGCAGTATACTGATCACGTGTCTCTGCCTGTATCACGTGACCACTTTACTGCACTGTCATTGGTGGATTTTCTGGTAAAGCAATTCGGACGTGTAAATAATATTATGAATTAGATCTATTAAAAATAGAAATAACAAATATAAAATTAGAATTGGAGTAAACCTAAGTAATAATTAGGTTTCTCGGGGATATTATCGTTTTCAGATTGGTTGCATATTTGCTGAATTTGATCTATTTAAACCCACTACTTTTATACAAAATTGTATGTATATTAATTTTCGTATAAATTTGACACAGTTGTAAATCAATTTCTAGAGATAGGAACATCAGATATAACTTTCATGGGTCGTGATCGAGAGCTAAAGTGATTAGCTTTCAGTCTACACCCCCTTTCATTTTTCCTTTACTGTCCCTTTAAGTTAAAATTTAAATAGTTCAAGGAATATTAAACACAGGAAACCCCATTTCACGTATTTTAAATTGCATGATTTTAAGTTACACATAAAACTTTTGATTTTGGAAAAATATACATACAAAAAAGGGTTGAATATCGTTCCACAGCTGTATGGGCCCCCCTATGTACCAAAGATTTTTTTTTTAGAGGTTGGATGGTAGATCTATCCAGAGGGGTTTAAAGTATCGTTGGCCAAACTCTATTATTCCTTATCTTATTGAGAGCACGTTCACTGAAGAACACAGAGTTATCATTGCTTCTGTAAGTAATAATGCTACAATTCTTACATAAATCTTATTTTTTTTTGTCTAGTTACTTACTGTACATGTGATTATCACATTCTTTTATTGATTGTTTAATAACTGCAGATATTTCATTTTCTAAAATTATTGATTTCCACAAAAAGGGACTGACTGTCGTCCAAGCTCTTTCTTTTGATTATAAATTCTTCAATTATTTTGACTGTTGTTATTGAAAAGGATAAAGCAAAGACGACAACCATTATCCTGTTTATTGTTTTGTTTTACTAAGTAAATCTAGGGAATTGAGAACGTGGAGAGCAACACCTGTATCCGGTTTGTTCCTAAACAGGACTCAGATATTGATTGGTTAGAAATATATTCTACTGGTGCTAGTGGATGTTTTGCTAATTCCAGGTCAATTACCATACTTCATTTTTAACCAGTCGGTTCTAGAGATAATTGTTTGCTCCAAATATACAGTGAGAACCAGAACACCGTGGAATAAATGTTTTCTTTCTTCTGCATTTCATTTAAGTTTCTCTTTGGAGTTTGTAATTTCCAATTGTTGCAACAGATATATCTTTAAAAATGTTGTCATTTTTTATTAATAGTTCAGGTGCAAATTATACCTTAAAAATACAAAAGATTTTAGAATAGAAAACTTGAAATGATAAAAAGAGCTACTTGCTTGAAAATGATACAATAAAATAAAAATTCAAGAAATGGATTTATTGCCACAGACTCTGATTTTACTATCTCTATATCTTTGTAACCCAATGGTGTACACCTTAGATATTCCAAACTATGAACTCTGTTAGATCCAATAGAGTTTTTGGAAATGACTCAATTACTTAGGTAGATGTTTAAAGGACATTTTGCCAATATTTGCAACATTTCCTTTTCTCTCTGTCGATACCTGGTCGATACGATAAAACCTCATGTTGTTGTTGTCTAGATATCTCGGTCCTGGACATGGAAAGCATGACATTGGATTAGAAATCGGATCTCCGCAAACGGGGTCAAATATAATTGTTCAAACATAAAAAAGAGTTGATTAAATTATTTTATCTTAAGAAATTTTAAAGCTAAAAATTATGCAAATCTCATTAATTCATTTCATAGAGAAAGTATGCAAATCTCATTCATTTATTTCACAGAGAAAATTATCCAAATCTCATTAATTCATTTNGATCAAAAAATTAATCGTAAAGTGAATTGGATTCCTTAGATAATAATTAAAAAAATTACGTTTTTTTATATTTGACTGTCGGTAGAACGTGTGTTGACAAGGTAAAAAAATATATAGTTAAAAGGGAAAATTCGCAACTTTTGATACATAAACTATTCGGAGTTTAAACTTATTACCAGTGTTTGAGCGTTAGAAAAAAAACTTGCTGTGCAAAGTAGTAGAAGCCAGAAAACATTGTCTTTCATTACGCAATATATTTTAGGGTTTAGTAATTTTAACCAGGGGTCCATATAATTCCCAAAATAGCTGATTTTCTCGATCCCAAAATAATTTGTTGCCCCCAACTTTAAAGAAATGCCCCCAATTGTAAAATTTAAAAACAAATTTCAAATTCCACTTACACATTTGGCTCCATTGCCCCCAATTTGAAAAAAAATTCCCTCAATTAAAAAAATGCCCCCAAATAAAAAAATATTTTTAAATTCCTCTAACACATTTGCCCCCATTTGCCTCCAATTTTAAAAAATGCCCCCAAATATAAAAAAATTCGCTCCCATTTAAAAAAATTGCCCCCATTTAAAAAATTTGCCCTCCTTCTTTCAAATTTGTCAATCCCAAATGGAATTGAAAAAGGAATTATATGGACCCCTGATTTTAACTGATTTATTTACTTAAACGTGTCCTGAACATTTGTATACATGTATAAATCATGACAATTCCAATTTGCTAAATCTTTTTCGTAAATTCTTAATAAAAATGCAAATACATTGACTATTTTCCTTTTCTGAAAAAAATATGATTTTTACTTCAATGTATTCCAAAAATATTTAAACAGCTGTTTTTACGAAACCCCAAACTTTTAATTTGACAATGCCAAACAAAGCCAAAAACAATTGCTTAAAGGGAGTGTTCGTGAAAAATGAAAAGGGGTATAGGCTTAATGCGATAAAAAAAGCGCTTTTGATCGCTACTAATCATACTTCTATCTGTATCGTCTATAAGGAGAAAATTGTTAAAGACGTCTCATACTGAATATAGTTTATATTTTTTATATTTTATTTTTTTAGAAAACGTTTTTAACGGATTTCGAAAAATGTGAGTGGTGCGACAAGAGAAATAATCACATTCAAAACAAATTAATTAAAAAATATTATAAAATATATTAACTATATACAAATGTGGCGAAAGATAATGGATGACTATAGGTAGTAATATCTGAATGATTTATTTGAAATTAAATTGATTTTTTTACGGTCAAAGTCGTATGTTGCAATTTTCTCAACTTGTAAGGACGCTAAGAAACTTAACTCTAATTGTACAGGGAGTAGTAGTACACGAGCTTCTACATATTCTGGGAGTAGCTCATGAACAGCAGAGACCTGACAGGGATTCTTATGTTACAATGAACTGGCCAAACATCCAGGTTTATATACTTATATTGTCCTTTAGGACGTCCAATACGTTCAAATCTGTAGAAACACATCATACGTCTCAACCTCTAATATTTTATATTCATATTTATGTAGTATTTATTTTCATTAAAGTGTATGAGAGTTCAGTTAATAACAAATCAAAATAAAGTTTAATAAGAGCCAATTGAAAGTGTAATTTTGAACACTTTTGTTTTGATTAGTATTTGTCACTAATCTTTCTTTCTAAAGGTGCCTTCAAACTTTTAATATATCAAACTTGAAATATTTGATTTAGCAAAATTCAAATTTTAAAATATAAAGGCCTACGACAACATGTTGCATAGATAAAGGAATTAATACAAATTGGAGTCGATTTTATTCAAAAGAATGTGTCAATTTAAGTACGAAACCATTCTGGTGTATTTTTTTTCTTGGTTTTAAATTACAGAAATACATACTTCTGTACGTGTTCGTTAAAAAGAAGCAATGCCAACAGGTTTTTGTTCGTTAACGGAATTTTATTCCAATCTTAACTTTAATTAAGGTTGCTAACGCGCACAACATGTACAGAGACTCCTGGGAGACTGAAGATCTATCAACTGCAACAATGTACGATAAATTTCAGATAAATTGTAGTTAACCCTTTAAAGGCTGTGGTATCTGAATCTATGTATAGAAAAGAGCCTTAGAGAATAAAATATATAAGTTTAAAACGATGTTCATAGCCTAACTTTTCAAGGCCAGCTTATTTAGAAAAAACGTAAAAATATTTTTTTTACAAATAATACACATGTTTTTATATTCGTTTTTATTAGATTTTTGGAAATGCAATTTTTAGATCTGTAGATTAAATAACAAACATCGACCTGCCTTACGAGCGTTAAAGGAAAATTTTCAAGGATTTATTCACTACCTTTACTAACAATACCTTTAACAATATTTTATAGATGTAACAACGAGGGGGTAAGCCAAGCTTCTGCAGATTTCAGCAGTTGTGTGAGCGGAGATACTGTAACAGATTTCGGAGTCGGATATGATTTCAAATCTGTAATGCACTACTCACTTGGCAGGTACCATTAGTAGCTTAACATTTTCCAGCTTCTTAAATGATTAAAATTTTTCATTTTTTTCTTTTTTTGCGTATTCCTTATTTATAGTGTAAAAGGCAATACTTACTCATGTTTGGTCCATATTTGTTCAATAAAGTTTATAAGATGATTACAAACTCCTGACCAGACACACATAAATACACAACATTACAGGTACGGTTGTGTGACCTCTTAGCTCCTCACGTTTTTAATTTACGCACAAGTATAGAGAGGAGAAAATGTATTTTGTCAATACTAGAAATTCAAAACATGTTTGTTCAACATAAATGCTTTTCAATCAAGAAATTATGCTTCAATATAACGCGAAATTAAACGTCTCAACGCGGAAATGCCTCAAAAACCGGTTTTGAGGAATTTCCGTTTTATTTTGGGAAATCCCTCAAAACTGGAAAAAGTTGAGGGATTTACGAATATTTTTGAGGCGTTTCCTAATATTTAAAGTTGAGGTGTTTCCTCTTTTTTTTGAGGCGTTTCCGTTTTTTTAAAAAGTTTTTAAACTTTATTTATTTGGAGGCGTTTCCGTTTTATGAAAAAACTGTTAAAACTTTATTTTGTGGAGGCGTTTCCTCTTTTTTTGAGGCGTTTCCGTTTTTTTGAGGCGTTTCCGCTTTTTTTGAGGCGTTTCCGTTTTTTGAAAAAAGAGGGTCGCTGAATTCTAATTCAACTCGCTCCATGCAGAGCAGCACATGCTAGAACTCTATTACGCCTGTATAGGTCGGATTAAAGAAAAAAATGTGCAACCGATCAACAGCTGTTGTAGGTCGGATATTGCAATAGGTCGGAAAATTAGTTGGTCGGAAGTTCAGTATAGAGGATGTTGCGCATAGACTTTGTAACATTACCAATCAGACAGACATTTTTAAATAACTTTGTTAGAAATCAAAACTTAAATAGAAACGCCGTCTCATTGCATTGAATAAAATTAGTGATAATCAAAAAAGAAAAGATGGGTCCGTCCTAGTTTATGATTTTTGGACCCCTCCTATCAATTTTGAACATGATCATTTTTATTTTTTAGAAAATCGTTTTCTAGGAAATTACCAAAAAGATAAATTGGATGCATTAACAGGCAAATTTTCAACATTTTTAATTATTTTTAGTTTTTACCCAAACATTCAGCAATTAAAACCCTTAAAACCCTAAAAATTGTTTTTCTCATTTTTTCTAATCCCTATTTCTTTGAAACCTCATGGTGTTTAATTTCTGGGAGGAGATTAATTATTTTGGAAAGGGGGAAAGATTTTCAAAGAAAGGAATTAAGTTTTTTTTTTAAACGGAAAAAGAGGAAATGCCTCAACTAAATAAATTTTAAAAAGTTTCTTTTAAAAACGGAACGCCTCAGAAAAATGAAGAAACACCTCAACTAAATAAAGTTTAAAAACTTTTTTTCAAAAACGGAAATGCCTCAAAAAAAAAAACGGAAACGCCTCAAAAAAAAAGAGGAAGTATGAACAAAATAAAGTTTAAAAAGTTTTTTCAAAAATCGGAAACGCCTCAAAAAAACGGAAACGCCTCAAAAAAAGAGGAAACGTCTCAACAAAATAAAGTTTTAAAAGTTTGTTTCAAAAACGGAAAGGCCTAAAAAAACGGAAACACCTCAAAAATTTTGCGGAAATGCCTCAAAAATTTTGGGAAATCCCTCAAAAATATTGGGAAATTCCTCAAAAATAATTGTCAGGTGAAAAGCGGAAACCCCTAAAAAAATTTAGGAAACGCCTCAAAATAAAGAGGAAACCCCTCAAAAACTGGGTTTTGGGGGATTTCCGTTTTTCTTACAGAAATTGCGGAAACGCCTCAAAAAAAACCGGGGTTTTGAGGTTTCCGCTTTTTTTTGAGGCATTTCCGCGTTGAGACGTTTCCATGTTGAGGCGTTTCTATAGCACCCGTGCAGACTCCGTCGAGCGCTGCGGCAAGTCCATAACACTACAGGAAAAAACTAAATTATCGAAACCTTACTGGTGCGGTTTGTGACCACGTAGCTTCTCTAGTTTTTATTTTACAGAAAAGAATGAGAGAAGCAAAATTTGTTGGTCACATATTATAAATTCAAAACTTTCTTGTTCTTCTCAATGGGTTATTAATAAGAAAAGTTATGATTTAAAACATGTAAGATTTCAATCTAACATGAAATTTACTTTGAATTGGCGTGAAGGCTCCGTTCAGCGCTGTGGCTAGAATTTGCGAGAGTCCCGGAATCCAGCAATGCGGAAAAAAGGAGTTTGTCTTTCTGTAGTTTATATTTCAGAAAGTCATGGCGCCTCTTTTCCCAGCTATATTTCTAGTTTTGCTGTGGACAGAAACCAGCCTGTGATGATCCCTAAGGATTCAAGTATCCAGGATGCTGATGTCGGGGGAAATGAGTTGTCAGCTAAGGATATTCTTAAACTGCAGAGAGCTTACTTCTGTGATGGTACCATCAAAGTAAGATTCATTCATATGTGCAATAAAAAAAATTGTGTCTAAAGCTTCTTTTAGGGTCAAAATTTAGCAAAATGGAAGAAAAGCAAGTTAAAGTAAATTTGTTTGTTATATTCCTTCATATATGAAACATTAGCTTTCCTTTCACTTTTCCCAATTTTGACTTAAGCGGAAAATATATGATAAAATCGAACCAAAAACGAACCAAAAAAGAACCAAAATGATCCAAAAACGAACGGAATCAAACGATCTCCAATTGTTTAGAATAAAATGTTGCACAATAAAATTAAAGCAAACTTAAACAGCTTGAAATCTTGAAAGTTTTATTGAAAGTTTTTAGGAAATGAAAGAAAAGAAAAACAACACTACATAGTGGACAAACAAAATACCATGATCAAATTCCAGATTTTAGATTGGGTTAAAACTTTATCTACCGATGGGAATTAATTAAAAGAAAGAGATATTTAAACCAACTACGGCTTGTTCAAGAACCTTTCTTTTACCTTCCAACTCTAGATGAACCATCTGTACTAAGTTCAACTACCTTTCTTTTACCTCCCAACTCTTGTTGAACTATCTGTACTAAGTTCAACTACCTTTCTTTTACCTCCCAACTCTAGTTGAACTATCTGTACTAAGTTCAACTACGTTTCTTTTACCCTCCAACTCTAGTTGAACTATCAGTACTAAGTTCAACTACCTTTCTTTTACCTCCCAACTCTAGTTAGAGTCCCTACTGAAAACGCCTCTGTAGCAATTTTTGTTTGATATAATTCCATCTTAAGATATTTATCATTGAAAATGTGCAGGTCAGCAAAATTTATTACACACCGGACTAATGGGAGTGCGCAGCATTCGGTTTCTTCTATTTGAAGTCAAACGTGCTTTGGTCTTTAATTCAATAATCATTTACTTTACGGATTTGTTTATACTATACTTCTTTCTTCAAAATGCATGTGCCAACAAAAAAGTATTTAATAAAAGGCTAATAAATTATGTTTAATTGGTCAAATTCTGATCGAAAGTCACAGCTTTCTGGAATATTGACAGTACCGTTAAATCCACGTGCCTAGGCTACATGTGGAGGGGCATTTTTCTCATCAACTGGAGGATCTATTTCTGGAGATGCTATAACTGGTAATTTTTATTTCAAAATTCCAAATTAAAAAAAATGATGAATCAACCTTATTTTAATTTTGTTGAGGAACAAATGAATGTGAATTTATACTAAGCACTGATCCTGGAAAGAAAATAACTTTAACTCTAACTGCCCAGGTATTTATGACAATATCAACAATAATGAACAATCTGCTGCAAACTCCTTTAAAACCGATGTTATGCAGCTTTAAAATTTGAATATATAAAGGGCTCCAAAACAGAAATATAGCAAATAATGTCTGTCTAAGAAGGTCATACAAACGGTGAATAGTTTACAATGATTAATTGTAATATATTGAATTTAATAATATATTTAGTTTGCTGGTACTTGTCTTACTGATTATTTGGAAGTTAGAATTGGCAGAGAAAAGAACGGATTACTGATCGGGAAATATTGCCAGGTTTTTTTTCTAGATTTTTTTGTCTTTTGTATTTTTACAAAATATTATTATATAAAAACATGTTTTCAAAACATTTAACATCTTAATCTCAATTTACTCCAGGGAACTCCTATCCCTGCAACTCTTGAATTTAAAACCAACGAAGTGTGGATAAGATGGGTCAAAACGGACTCTACTTTTAGCGGAACATGGTCTGTTAGTGATTGTAAGTTGCATAATTCATAAACATCTTTACGCAGAAATTTACAATATCGTTTTTTTTTTAGTAACATGTTCTTGCAACAAGATCATAATTGAAAAGAGTGATCTTAAGATCTTGAATGGAGCATATACAAAGATTGAAGCTGTAAGAGGAGGAAAGCCAATCTATCAAAAAGAACAATTTTATTTGGTTTGGAGTGACACTAGACATGAGTGGTATATTAGTCCTGACTACACTACGGATTCGTACTATGCAATTAATAAGGTAAGTAATAAATTATTGATGTCTCACTAAGCTATTTTTGTTCGGACCTTATTAGTGAACTTTTTGAACTTTTTTTCTCTCTTTAATTAAGAAATGGTTAAGTCCTAAGTTTGTAGCGGAGAAATCAATCGTATATAGCGAGCAAATTTAAACACACACTTTTTTATCAACTTTATTTTCTCACTTGCTGCCCAGGTTTAATATCATTTTTCAAAGTTTCTTCTGTCGTTTAACCGCGCTTAGTTATTATGATTTTAACTGAAATGCTCTGTGTTGCCCTTGGCATGTAAAAAATGGTCAAACTTTTTTTAGCTTAAATTGGTCCAGTCCTTCGGCTAGGTATTAAAACATCTCCGATTCTTACTGTGTCATGTTGATTGTTGATGCTGGGATTTCACGCTGCGGCTAGGACATACTTGGGAGATTGCCACTTGGGAAAGTTGCCGCTTATGAAAATGCCTTTGGGAAAGAGCTGACATTCCAAATTGTACTGTAGGTTGCTTTTGGATGTCCTGAAGACCTAAAATCTGAATGGGAGTATTACAACTCAGACCTGGATGCAACAGTACCTGATACAGATGCATCAGCTAGATGTAGTGACTGTTCCCTGTATCCAGAATATGAGGAGTGCCGTGAGTAAATGTTATAAGTTAATGCCCGACAAATTAAAATTTAAAACTCTTTCTATTTTCAGAAACCTGTTCTTGCCAGGTTCTGAAGTTGGATTTTAACTCCAACTTAGATGGTCTTCTGAACAAAGTAGATTTGACTATTGGAGATAGACCAGTGTATCAGCATCCGGATTCTGGAATCTATCTATTTTTCCACCCTGGCATAAGCCAGTGGCTTTTTGGACCAGACATTACTACAACAAATTATTATTTTAGAAATGAGGTAAGAACATCATTGAATAGTGTTAACAAATTTTCAATAAACAAGAATCAAATGTGTTCATGATAATTTACCTTTTTACCCCAGAGAACTGATCGTTGTCCATCAGCTTTGGATTCTGGATGGATCAATTTTGAACTTGGAACTGTCAGCTGCAATGATGCAACAACCACGGCAGCTTCAACTACTTCCGCAGCTCCAACTACTGCAGCTCCAACTGCTGAACCTCCAACTACTGAACCTCCAACCACTGAACCTCCAACCAATGAACCTCCAACTACTGAACCTCCAACTACTGAACCTCCAACTACAGAACCTCCAACTACTGAACCTCCAACTAATGAACCTCCAACTACTGAACATCCAATTACTGAACCTCCAACTACTGAACCTCCAACTACTGAACCTCCAACTACTGAACCTCCAACTACTGCAGTTCCAACTACTGAACCTCCAACTACTGAACCTCCAACTACTGAACCTCCAACTACTGAACCTCCAACTACTAAACCTCCAACTACTGAACCTCCAACTACTGAACCTCCAACTACTGAACCTCCAACTACCGAACCTCCAACTACTGAACCTCCAACTACTGAACCTCCAACTAATGAACGTCCAACTACTGAACCTCCAACTACTGTACCTCCAACTACTGAACCTCCAACTACTGAACATCCAACTACTGAACCTCCAACTACTATACCTCCAACTACTGAACCTCCAACTACTGAACCTCCAACTACTGAACCTCCAACCACTGAACCTACAACTACTGAACCTCCAACTACTGCCGTTCCAACTACTGAACCTCCCACTACTGAGCCTCCAACTACTGAACCTCCAACTACTGATACTTTAAGTCCATGTTTTCCGTGTAAAAATGTTTTAAATGGACCTCTCCAGGGACTTTATACACTCCAGGTAGTTTTAATAAAAGTATTCTAGGTATAATGGGCTCAGCACTGCAGCAAGGTTACACTAAATGGCTGAGAACTTAAGGCTCATGCTAAATATATAAAAGTTTCTCTAATTAGTAACCCATCCTCTGGAATAATTATATCCCCAGGTGATTCCCTCCAGTGCAGTGGCCTCCAGTCCATTGGAGGGAATAACAATGCTAATATATTTAAGAACTTTAAGCTAAACTTTGGAGTGAAACATTATAGAAACCGAACGTAAAGAAACCGCTAGTTATAGCAACAAGGCGTATTTTGCAGGAGATTTTTTTTTATATTTAAAAGAAATTAAATTGTTTTGTAAAACATTGTAGCTTTTCATTATCAATATCATTATTTTTATGTTTTTAAAGATACCCTTGGCTATGACTATACAAGTTCTCCAGTAATGCTAATGTGATTTCATAAAATTCCATTTTATCATTTAAATAAAAGGATTTTATGAAAATGATATTTACTCTGCACTGATTATTTAATTTCTCAAAAATATAAAAAAATATTCTCCCGAAAAATACGCCTTGTTGCTATTCCTAGCGGTTTCTATACGTTCGGCTTCCAGAATGTTTCACTCCAATGTTTAGCTTATAAAGAGTTCTTGAACATATTAGCATTTGTTATTCCCTCCGATTGACTGGAGGCCACTGCACTGGAGGGAATCACCTTTAATTATTCCAGAGGATGGGTTACTAATTATCAAACAAGACACTTATTACTGGCCAGATACTGAAAATTAATCACTCCACCAGAGTTTTATTAAAAAGTGATCTGGGTGGCAACCAAAATCTCTTAGGTGGAGTAATTAGTGCCCAGGGTTATAAAAAGTATCCCTCGTGTTTAGTAATTAGTGTCCTGAATTTTGATCAGTATCTCTTTGTCCCTCCCAGAGGCCACTGAAAGGAATGGCAAATGCCACTATTTTCTTCTAGAACTTGAAAGGTTGCGGGATGATTTTTTAAAAATATTTTAATCAACCAACAAGTGAATGAAGAGAAGAGGAATGGAAGCTGATAAAATAAACTAATTATTTTAAAGGATGGAAGGGATCCTAGGTGTAGTGATGGATGTGCTTACAAAGATGTGAACGAGGATATTTTCTGCTTTCTACCTGGCAAATATTATATTCAGCCTACTTGCAACTAAATATTTAACATGTTTTTTTCACACCTACTTTACTTTGTGTTCTAGTTTTTGTCAAAAGGAATTTGGTCTTCGTCACAAATATTCTAATCTCTATATCTTTCAAACCTGATGGCTTAAACCTTTGATATTTCAAATTAAGTTTAATTGATATAAAAGAATTCATAGTTTAAAATATCTATGGTCTATACGGAATTGGAGAAATAGAAAATCTGAGTTTGTGACAAAAACTCAATTCCTATGTTATTTCTCTAAATTTGATTTGTGTGCAATAAAACTGGTTGAAATCTTTATCATCTAAAGAATTGTGAATGGTGAATATTAGACAGAAGTTGAAGAGAAATGTTTAGAGAAGACTCCTTATATGGTGTGAAGCATGTATGTGTGGTCTGTATACTGTGTAGATATATGGACAGTAGCTTTAATATTGCTGTAATATTTCAAGATGGGATCTATACAAGTTGTATTTGTGTATACACACAATTTTCAGCATAAACAAATTTCATTCCCACCAAACAATAGTCATTCCCATCTAATTATGCGGATTACTAAAGATTCATTACCTCAAAATGGTCTCAAAATGGATTCCATTCTTTAAATTGGTTTTTCCAGTATTTCTCATCAAACTATATTTATTACTTTAGATTCTAGTATTAATTTCACTCTAAAAATATTAATTTGTATCCCAGTATTCATTCCCATTCAACTATATTAATTCATATAGTATTTATTCCCACAAAACTATATTCACTCCCGTTATGCAATGTATATTCACTTCTACCAAACTTCATTCATTTCCATCAAACTATATTCACTACCACCAAACTATATTCACTACCACCAAAAAATATATATTCACTCTCACCAACCTATATTTACTCAAACCAAACTATATTTACCCTCACCAAACTATATTTACCCTCACCAAAAAATGTTTACCCTCACCAAACTATATTTACTCTCACCAAACTATATTTACCCTCACCAAACTATATTTACTCTCACCAAACTATATTTACCCTCATCAACTATATTTACCCTCACCAAACTATATTTACCCTCACCAAACTATATTAACCCCCACCAAACTAAATTTACTCTCACCAAACTATATTTACTGTCACCAAACTATATTTACTCTCACCAAACTATATTTACTCTCACCAAACTATTTTTACCTTCACCAAACTATATACACTCTCACCAAACTATATTTACTCTGACCAAACTTTATTCACTCTCACCAAACTATATTCACTACCACCAAACTATATTTACTCTCAGCGAACTATATTCACTACCACCAAACTATATTCATTTCCATCAGACTATATTTACTACCACCAAACTATATTTACTCTCAGCGAACTATATTCACTACAAATCCTACAACAAAATCCTACAACAAAATCCCACAACCAAATACTACGGCCAAATTCTACAACCGAAGGTAGCTAATCAAATAGAGCTAAAGGATAATTATTTATAATTTTCTTGAAATATTTTGTGATGTTTGAATATTATAATTCAATCATTATTATTATCCAAGTTTAGATTAGCTTATGACCTAATAACCATAATAACCTTGCTATGAATTTCTTTATAAGATTAGATGTTTTAGAGGAAGTTCTTCAGATTCAAATTCTTTCCAAACGACAAATACAAAATTTGTGTATATGCCCTTCTATTATACAGGTGTTTTTATAAAGATATATTTGGCATGTCTGTCTGTATGAATCCCATAAGCGTCAAAACGGCTAAACCAATCAGGTCGGCATTTTTTGTAGGATCCCAAGAAAAGTTTATGTAAAAATGTTGTCTAACTAATTTTATAAAAATCCACCAATGAAGCGCTTTGTAAGCCTAGTATTTATATAAATGGTCGACGTAACCCTTGATATTCTTTATTTAACAATTTGTTCATCTTCTACAAAAAGAATTCTAATCCTGATCCTTGTCAATCTATCCTATAGAACTTATACTATGTATATTCCATGTATAGAGAACCCTGATAGCCAAATACGACGTGACATTTTTCTAATAAATTAAAGATGGCCCCAGATATGGGTTTTGTATGTCCTGTCTATTTTTCGTTTTTGCTTATTTTGTAAAGGTATCTTATTCAACCAAGAGGTTGAAGGTGGGGGGGGGGAGGAGTAGAAGAGAAGGGGAAGAACTCACCCTGTTATGAAAACGGAACATTTTTTTCTATACTTTAAAATTTGTTTTTATTAAATTTATGGTTAAACTGTTTTCCTCATAATTTCCTATTATTATTATTATTCTACTTACGATGTTTTATTTCAATCCCAGAGTCCCAAAATGTTAAAAATGTTTATGTTTCTAGGTTTGTGGGACGACATTCGTAACTAAAGTATTTTATTTGAAATTTTTTTTAAATCATCAGTGTTTTATTTTCTCTCCACCCAACACTGCTTTAAGTATAAAGGGTGGGCCTGAAACTTTATCTTTCATGACATTAGGTTATATATCTAGGCATACATATTTCTCAGGAGAGGGTCGCAGAATTTCTTGAACTAATTCATGCGAGATTTGTTTTTTTTGGGTGCAAAGATTTTCAAGTTTTTTACTTTAGACGATAGAATGCCGACATAACTTTAAATAAATGCTCAATTAACAATTATATCCGTTGAACCATAGTAAAAGCGATAACTATGGAGAAGGAAATTGACAGAATTCAACACAAATTCAAAACATGATTTCCTCATTGTTGACGGATAAAGATTAAATCAGGCATGTGATGATGTGCCCCTTTAATTAGGAGGTCAATTTTTTTTTTCTAAACTGGTCAAAATATCAAGATTCACTCGATCTACAACTTTTATTCCTGCGAGATTTATAAAGATTTTAAAAAGAGATCTTTTTGTCCCCAGGACATGATCGGGTTGTTACGATCGAATCTCGGAATTTTTCTATTGCGAAAGTTTGGTGTTGTACTGTAGTATTTGTATTAATCTGCCAAAGGTTGTAATCTAGCAGCACATTCATCCGTCCACGCTTCATTTATTATTAGAAGAGGGCTGACAAGATTCCAGCTGCCTAAGGGTTAGGTTAGGTTAGGTTAGGTTAGGTTTGTTGACTTGTTGACAGCTTCTGCTTAACCAGATGTTAGATAAGATAAGATAAGATAACGTTTATTGCTAAAATAAATGTATCTATATACAGATAGAGTTTACAATCACAAAATTGATGATTATATTAACAGTACAAGTATAGAGCAATTAGGTGGAAAATAGCTCTTGGCTGTTTTGATTATTTTTTCCACCTAATGTTAGTAATAACATGTCTATTTTTGTGTCAGTCATTTTGAGTCTAGTAGAAATATTTTTTACTGGAAATAAATGCACTAAACAAGTTATCTGAGTGTTTGTGTTTTCACATAATATGGAGCATGTGAATAAGTTAACCCGGTGTTGGGTTGTCGGTCAGTTTAATCCGGGAGCTCACAAAGACACGTCCGGTCAGCTCGGATAACTACACTACACAGATGATTTTGAAACCACAGGTTTCTGTGGAGTGCGGGAATCGAACCCGGGAACACTAGTCTGGATACCAATCCAGCTACTGGCTGTGGACAAGTGTGCTTAACTTCAGTGATCTAAAGAGAACTGGTAACACACAAGCCACTCCACCCCATGAATCAATCTTCAAACAATTCTTGAACAAAATTGTTACATTTTAGAAATTTACCATGTTTAAAGTGTTGCTAAGTTGTGAATGGTGAGTGATTAAAAGTAAAAGTATTCAAAAACTTCAAGAAGTAAGTGCACAGCACATTTATAGAAAGCTAAAAACAAAAAATAAATTTGTTAGACACTTCTAAACCAAACTTAAGTATTTTTGCTTGTTCCACAACAATAATTTGAATAAAATCGGGCGGGATAAGTCTAAGAAAAATAATATATATGTATATGTCTATAAATATTTTATACAATTATGCCGTCCGTATGATCGTGAACAGTCCTCTTTAATTTCATTTTTTGTCCTCACGGTGACAGAAAGAAACACGTAAGAGAGAGAAAGTGAGGAAGAGAGAAGAATATTTATAATTTATTACAGTGTTCTCTAATAAACTTGAAGAACAAGGATGATACTATGCAGTGATGACAGTAATATGAAACGTGGATCTGATATACGCATAAATTATGCGAAGAATATAATAAAATGTTTATATTTGTGTGAGATAGGGTGGAACACTGTAGGAAGGGGGTGCAGGAATTTCATGCACAATTACAGATTCATAAGATTTAAAAAATATGTAAGCCAAAGTAAATTTAAATAAGATACAATCAGGAACCTATGAAAAATGGAACCATAAATTTATAAAGATTAGAACCAGAAAACTATAAAGGAAAGAACTTGGAATTATCCAGGATGGAACCTGAAATCTGAAGAGGAGAGAACCAGGAATTTATAAAGATTAGAACCAGGAATCTTTGAAGATTAGAACGAGGAATTTATATATGAGAGAACCAGGAATGTATAAAAGATAGAACCAGGAATGTATAAAGAATATAACAAGGAATGTTTCAAGGATGGAACCAGGAATCTAAAGATGATAGAACCAGAAATTTATGAAGATTAGAACCAGGAATTTTTAAAAGATAAAACCAGGAATCTATACAAGATAGAACTAGGAATCTAAAGAGGATGGAATAAGGAATGTATAAAGTTTTGAATCAGGAATTTGTAAAGATAAGAACTAGGAATTTATAAAGAATATAACCAGGAATTTATAAAGAATAGAACAAGGAATGTTTCAAGAATAGAACCAGGAATTTATCAAGGATGGAACAAGGAATGTATAAAACCAAGAATAAAATAAACTAAGAATAAAACCAGGAATTTATAAAGGATTGAACTAGGAATTTATACAAGATGGATTTGTCTGTGATTAGTTTAAATAAAACGCATGTATCTATGATTTAAACTAATATTACGCATGTATCTATAGATATGAATTAATAATACGCATGTAACTATGATTTAAACTAATATTACGCATG